CAACTCTGCTGCTTTAATTCTATCATTACTTTGCCTATGAATTGTTGTAAAAAGCTGTGGCTGGCTTTTTAACAGAGTTTTCATGCTGTGATTTTCGAATTTTTCATGATTTGATATGCTAATAATTCTTGGTGCCACAGTGCAATGACACATTTTGCGATATACTGCCTCCGATCCTTCTGAAGATCTTTTGAGCCGTTGGTATGTTTTCTTCTAGTTACTATTATACTTTCGATGTCATAAGATGCTTTTTAATAGAGGGAGGGGCCGGGATGACGTGGCCATTGATTTGTGAAAGTAATCAAATCTATCACAGATAGAAATAGGTCTAAATCCTCTCTATTTTCTGTCTTCAAGTAGTTTCTGAACAGTCTGAATCACTTGGTATCAGTGGTGGGTTTCGGTTTTATATCCCGTATTTATTATAGTAGATTAACATAAATTAAAGAGGGCATTGGTTTATCGAAGTCACGATCATATGTTAATGCTAATACAATAAAAAATGGCACGAATTTCCATTAGTCCGTACCAGGACATCACAACAAAGTCAAACTGAATTAAAGATATTAACTGTAGGTCTACACTGCTTCAAATAAATCTGCGTGTTTCTAACGGATGAACCATGAAGAAAATGTGAGCACATCTTGATAGGAAAAGCTAGGAAAAACCCAAATATGCCAGTCATTATCTTATGCCAGTTCAATTTCAAATATGCCAAATTTGTTAAATCTGGCATCAAAAATGCCAATATGGCAACCCTGTGACTATCATTTCATGTAGTTCCTTCTGATTTGTTGCTATCAAGACTGTGTCATCAGCATAACGTAAATTGTTTATAGTGTGCCCACCAACCACAATTTCAGGCATATCAATTAAAGATCTCATTATATATTCACTGTATAGTGAAAACAAATCAGGTGACAGTACACATCCCTGTCATACGCCCCTCTTTATGCTCTGAAATGCACCTAAACAGTTGTTAATTCTTATAGCTGCTATTTGCTGCCAATACTTATTCTTTATTATTCGTAGATATTTTCCATCAATGTTTAATTTTTCTAACAGTTTGATTACTTCTTCATGCTTCACACAGTCAAATGCTTTTGTATAGTCTATGAAGCATAAGTATAAATCAGTCTTTACTTCCATAGCTGTTTCTGACAATGTCCTTAGGATGTATATAGCATTGTTTGTACCTTTTGGGATGGAGAGAGAGAGACATGAACAATATAGCATGCATATTTTAAACAGTTACTTATATTCAAATGCACAATATGTAAATAATTCCAGAATGTTCCACAATGCACTCATAATTAACTGTAATTTTTTAACTTCTTCTTCTTCATCTTCTTCTGCGTTCGACATCAGTCATGCTAAACATTGAGTCCCGTCTGGGTCACAAACAGGGTAGTGCGTTTAAGGTCGCCACCGGTCCCCCATAGCTTCTCTTGCAATGTGGCTCCCTTGGGCCAGATCCACAGTCTTTGCTGGGAGAGGTTAGAGGCAGTACTGCAGTATGTGCTCAGGGGTTTGTCTTTCTGCTCCAAAATCACAGGCAGCAGATTCTTTTATGCCTATCTTGTACAGGTGTGCTCGAAGACCTGTCAGAAGTCTAAAAATTGATGTTTGTTCTTTCCTGCTGAGTTTGTTTATGCTGTCACTCTCTGGTCTGTAATCTCCATTCTGCCTTGAAAAGACTGCTTGAAAGACTGCTTCAGCACTGTTTTGGTTTCCTTGAAGCTGTGTGGTGCTTGAGGTTGTGGAAGATTACTTCCAGCTTTTGCTAACTCATCTGCTCTCTCATTTCTTTGAATACCAGTGGGCTGGTATCCACTGCAAGACCAGTTCTGCTTCCTTGGAAAGTAAGTCAATGTTGGACCTTAGATCTGCAATTAGTTTGTCATGTTTTTTTTTAATAGTGCTTGGAGAACAGACAATGAGTCACTAAGTATAACAATTTTGTACCCTCTGCATTCTTGAGTGATGAGATGTTGGACTGCAGAAAGGAGGGCGGTTGCCTCAGCTCTGAAGTTAGTGCAGATGTCACCTGCTGGTAGAGAGAGAGTTTCTGCTCTACTGCTAGGGGGTTTAATGTATATTCCACAGCCCCCCTTTCTGACTGCATCTGTATCAGAGCCGTCGGTGAAAACCCGAGTCCAAGTGGTGTTGGGATACTTCTCATCAAGCATAGCAAGAGCTAGGGTTCTCTGTTGTGTCTCCATCTGGGCATCTTTTGAAGAGATCCCTGGTACCTTTAGGACTACATTTGCCTTCTCTGGCTTGCTTGTCCATGGTTCTGGCCTAAGTTTTTCACACAGTGCAACATCTCTTTCAAGCTAATCTTGGTGCTGTCTGTACAGCTCTCTAGCAAGGTGATTGGAACTATGACGCTTCAGTCTGTTTTTTTTTTGTTCTCTCTTGAAATTTAAAATAGTTTTTTTTTTTTAAACTGAAAACTAAAACTAAAAAGAAATACAAAAACATAAATGGAATTTGAAATATTTATTCAGATACTTTCTGAAACCCAACTTTCCTACAATGTATTTTTCTAATAAAGCAAAGAACCAAAAAGCAAATTATCTGCATTAAGAAGAAACCCCAGTCAACACACACCAAACACAATCAAAATGCATACAGTGTCTTTTCATAACTGATGCATTATAAATTATAGCAGCCTAAAGATACAGGTACAAGTATTACCCAGAAATATGCCAGAACAACTTTCTCTGATACTCAATATGTATTGTTGTGTTGGAGTTAAAAAAAAAACACCACATAATATGGAGAATAGAAAATCAACAGTATGAAAAAGAAATTAAAATCTAAAGAGACCTATGAAACATGAGGATAATGAAGTCACTATCATCAATCTGCATGTAAACATACACAAACAAATGTGTGCAATAAAAGACACGCTGATGGTAGAAAAAAGAGATATATTTTACATTTTGGCAGAATACATAATGCAGATGTATTGATACTTGGGCTGAATTATAGTATAACGCACTTACTGGAGTAAAAAGCATTCAAGCAAAGGACAGGTAGTGCTACAAAAACATATGGATGAACCGTGGCTGCAAAAGGACAGGTAGTGCTACAAGAACTTATGGATAAACCGTGGCTGCAAAAGGACAGGTAGTGCTACAAGAACTTATGGATAAACCGTGGCTGCAAAAGGACAGGTAGTGCTACAAGAACTTATGGATGAACCATGGCTGCAAAAGGACAGATAATGCTACAAGAACTTATGGATGAACCATGGCTGCAAAAGGACAGGTAGTGCTACAAGAACTTATGGATGAACCATGGCTGCAAAAGGACAGATAATGCTACAAGAACTTATGGATGAACCATGGCTGCAAAAGGACAGGTAGTGCTTCAAGAACTTATGGATGAACCGTGGCTGCAAAAGGACAGGTAGTGTTACAAGAACTTATGGATGAACCATGGCTGCAAAAGGACAGGTAGTGCTACAAGAACTTATGGATGAACCATGGCTGCAAAAGGACAGGTAGTGCTTCAAGAACTTATGGATGAACCGTGGCTGCAAAAGGACAGGTAGTGTTACAAGAACTTATGGATGAACCGTGGCTGCAAAAGGGCAGATAGTGCTACAAGAACTTATGGATAAACCGTGGCTGCAAAAGGACAGGTAGTGCTACAAGAACTTATGGATGAACCGTGGCTGCAAAAGGACAGGTAGTGCTACAAGAACTTATGGATGAACCCTGGCTGCAAAAGGACAGGTAGTGCTACAAGAACTTATGGATGAACTGTGGCTGCAAAAGGACAGGTAGTGCTACAAGAACTTATTGCTTCAAAAGCAAGAAAGATGAATTACTGGATATCCAGTGCAACCCACCTTTATACACAGATTAGTTTTTCTTTTAACTAACTGACTTACTCTGCAGCCCCCCCCCCCCCCACACCATGGAGCAGCAGTTGCATGTTCAATAGTTGAAATTTCCTAACGCTTGCTGAACCAGACTCTGCATAAATATGCGCTCACTGCACAAATCAGAATGTTTTCCAATTATCAATATAAATGCTAGTAAAATTTTAGGTTTAGCAATAAATTACCTTGCCTTTTTGACTAGTATAAAAAATAAAAAATCAAGTCTTTCTGAGAAAACTACAGGACTATATGTATAAGCTATAACTACTAAACCCTAACAATAACCCAGGTGGCCTCATTTCCCCCAAACAATACAGTGCCTATTGGCTGTTCTGTCTGCTTCTAATCATATGTAATTTAGAAATAATTTACAAGTGTCATATTACTGTCTATTTAGCTGACAATAAAGGTGTGGGTATATGTTTCACTTCCTTTATATAAATTATGATATTGTGTTTTCTCTCTTCAATTGACATTCTTTACAAACATCAAGCTGTTACCTGTTTAGGAGGGCAGAATGCTGGATATTCCCAACTCTTAACCTTTTGAAAATCCAGCTGTTTTTTAAAGTTTGTTCATTACCTAAAGCATTTATAGCGATAGTATAAATATTAAGCAATTTCTAATTTATGTAATTCTAAGACAAATAAAACAATAATGTTTGAAGAGTTTTTCTGTCACTGACCTATCAGTTACAGACAGGCAATTAAAAACAAATGTGTTAATGTGAGAAACTTTAAAATAAAATAAATATGATCATAAGCATCAACAACAACAAAAATAATATGTGAACATAATGCTCAGTGCTGTACATATGACAATAAATAACATACATTCTACATTCTAATTTTACGTAACTAAAACAAAAATACCATAAGAGTTATAGTATTACCATGATTTAAGCTGGTTTATATATTGCTTCATGACAGCATCCAGCTACTGTATGCTGAATTTTAAGTTCACATAAAACAGAAGAGAAGAGAAACAACAACATGTAGTGTGCTGAAAGTTTATGTGCTTCAGATAACTAAAATCTGGTTTATATCAAAAGCACAATTATTCACATGAAATTCCCATTACAAAAGGGTACTGAAACAAACCCTGCTTATAACTGACCACAATCAGCAATAACAAATTTGTTTTTTGGCTTGCCATCATCTCGCCCACAAGCCTCCATGGCTCTTACAAACTCCATCCCTTCCACCACTTCACCAAACACAACGTGTTTGCCATCCAACCTAAAAATAGAAATAAAACATATTTGTATTACAAAACTTTTGTCACAATATGTTTATGTCTAGTGTTACACTGTTATGTGAGATCTATGTCTCCTATTACACTGTTATGTGAGATCAATGTTTCTTGTTACACTGTTATGTGAGATCTATGTCTCTTATTTCACTGTTATGTGCAAGCCATGTTTCCTGTTACATTGTTATGTGAGATCCATGTGTCTTTTTATACTGTTATGTAAGATCCATGTCTCTTATTACACTGTTATGTGTGATCTATATCTCTTATTATACTGTTATGTAAGATCCATATCTCTTATTATACTGTTATGTGTGATCTATATCTCTTATTACACTGTTATGTAAGATCCATATCTCTTATTATACTGTTATGTGAGATCCATGTCTCTTATTATACTGTTATGTGAGATCCATGTCTCTTATTACACTGTTATGTGTGATCCATGTTTCCTGTTACAGTTATGTAAGATCCATGTTTCTTGTTACACTGTTATGTGAGATCTATGTCTCTTATTTCACTGTTATGTGCAAGCCATGTTTCCTGTTACATTGTTATGTGAGATCCATGTGTCTTTTTATACTGTTATGTAAGATATATGTCTCTTATTACACTGTTATGTGTGATCTATATCTCTTATTACACTGTTATGTGAGATCCATGTCTCTTATTATACTGTTATGTGAGATCCATCTCTTATTATACTGTTATGTGAGATCCATGTCTCTTATTATACTGTTATGTGAGATCCATGTCTCTTATTATACTGTTATGTGAGATCCATGTCTCTTATTATACTGTTATGTGAGATCCATGTCTCTTATCACACTGTTATGTGAGATCCATGTCTCTTATTACACTGTTATGTGAGATCAATATCTGTTATTATACTGTTATGTGAGATCTATGTCTCTTATTATACTGTTATGTGAGATCCATGTCTCTTATTACACTGTTAGGTGAGATCCATGTCTCTTATTACACTGTTATGTAAGATCCATGTTTCCTGTTACAGTTATGTGAGATCCATGTTTCCTGTTACACTGTTATGTGAGATCCATATCTCTTATTATACTGTTATGTGAGATCCATGTCTCTTATTATACTGTTATGTGAGATCTATGTTTCTTATTTTACTGTTATGTGAGATCTATGTCTCTTATTATACTGTTATGTGAGATCTATGTCTCTTATTATACTGTTATGTGAGATCTATGTCTCTTATTATACTGTTATGTGAGATCCATGTCTCTTATTATACTGTTATGTGAGATCCATGTCTCTTATTATACTGTTATGTGATATCTATGTCTCTTATTATACTGTTATGTGAGATCAATATCTGTTATTATACTGTTATGTGAGATCTATGTCTCTTATTATACTGTTATGTGAGATCCATGTCTCTTATTATACTGTTATGTGAGATCAATATCTGTTATTATACTGTTATGTGAGATTCATGCCTCCTATTACAATGATATGTGAGATCTATGTCTCCTCTTACACTGTTATGTGAGATCTATGTCTCCTATTACAATGGTATATGAGATCTGTGTCTCCTCTTACACTGGTATCTGAGATATATGTCTCATCTTCCAATGTGATGTGAGATTCTTGTCTCTTATTACACCGTTATGTGAGACCCATGTCTCCCCTCACACTTTAATGTGGGACCCATGTCTCCTCTCACACTGTTATGTGAGATCCAGGTCTCCTCTCACACTGTTATGTGAGATCCATGTCTCCTCTCACACTGTTATGTGAGATCCATGTCTCCTCTCACACTGTTATGTGAGATCCATGTCTCCTCTCACACTGTTATGTGAGATCCATGTCTCCTCTCACACTGTTATGTGGGACCCATGTCTCCTGTTACATAGTTATGTGAGATCTATGCCTCCTATTATAACACTGTTATGTGAGATCTATGTCTCCTATTATAACACTATTATGTGAGATATATGCCTCCTATTACAATGGTATATGAGATCTATGTCTTCTCTTACACTGGTATGTGAGATCTATGTCTCATCTTACACTGTTATGTGAGATCCATGTTTACTGTTACATTGTTATGCGAGCTCCATGTCTCTTATTACACTGATATATGAGACCCATGTCTTCTCTCACACTGTTATGTGGGAACCATGTCTCATAGTTATGTTATACTGTTACATAGTTATGTGAGATCTATGTCTCCTATTAAACCACTATTATGTGAGATCTATGTCTCCTGTTATAATACTGTTATGTGAGATCTATGTCTCCTATTATAACACTGTCATTGAGATCTAAGTTTTCTATTATAACACTAGTATGTAAGATCTATGTCTCCTCTTACACTGGTATGTGATATCTATGCCTCCTCTTACACTGGTATGTGAGATCTTATGTCTCCTCTTACACTGTTATGTGAGATCTATGTTTTCTATTATAACACTGGTAGGTGAGATCTGTCTCCTTTTACACTGGTATGTGAGATCTATATCTCCTGTTTCACTGTTATGTTAGATCTATGTCTCCTATATTAACAATGTTATGTAAGATCTATGTTTTTTATTATAACACTGGTATGGGAGATCTATGTCTCCTCTTACACTGGTATGTGAGATTTATGTCTCTTCTCACACTGGTATGTGAAATCTTTGTCTCCTCTTAAACTGGTATGTGATATCTATGTCTCCTGTTACACTGTTAGGTGAGATCTATGTCTCCTATTATAACACTGTTATGTGAGATCTAGGTCTCCTGTTAACTGTTATGTGAGTTCTATTTCTCCTGTTACACTGTTATGTGAAATCTAGGTCTCTTTTTACAATGGTATGTGAGATTTTATGTCTCCTCTTACACTGGTATGTGAGATCTTATGTCTCCTCTTACGCTGGTGTGTGAGATCTATGTCTCCTGTTACACTGTTATGTGAGATCTATGTCTCCTCTTACACTGTTATGTGAGATCTATGTCTCCTGTTGCACTGTTATGTGAGATAGGTTTCCTGTTACAGGATTTATGTCTGCTGTCATATTGTTATTCAATAAATATTGTTAGAAAGTCCAGACAGGCTGTGTACCTTGACACTGAATGAAGTTTATACAGAAGTCAAGACTGAGATTTATCACTTTGATACTGATGCAAGCATAGGTACCATGACAGACAGAGCAATAAATTCAGCTGATATTCTGCTAGTAGGAAAACTGGCCATAATAGTGATTCAGGTAGTGAAATAGATTCTGCATTCTTAGTCTCACTTTTCAAACCGAAAATGAATCAGGGTGTTGCATAAAATGCAGAAGGATCTTATTAATAAAGAATTGAAGAGGAAATCAAAAGGCTTGTCACTGGCAAATGTTTTCAAAGGAAGAAAACTTAGACAGCTTGGACATATTTGTAGAATATCTTGTGACAGCTCTTCGATGGATGGCAGATAGTAAAAGAACATGTTGGCGACTTAAGGAAATCTGGAGAAGGAAAGCAAAAAAAGGAAACGAAGGAATGTAAAATTACATGAGATACTATAGGTACAAAAGCTGCAGACTGGCAGCAATGAAGATCACTTATAAATGTGTTGTGTGTTTACAGAGACATTAAGAGGACAAAGATAGACAATATCTTATTAACCAACCTTGGAATAGAACTACCATTTGTCACATGCAGTGATGGATAACTCAGGATTGCAACAACAGACTTTTCAAAGTGAAGCGAAGATGATCTGACACTCAACAGTGCAATACACGAGGATGATGCCACAAATGTAAAGACTGATTCAGAAGGTTTCTACTGTTGACAATCCCACAAATGGACAGAATACACAGACAAATCAAACTGTACTTGTTTTTACTTACCAGTCAGTTATTTCAGTACAAATGAAAAACTGGGAACCATTTGTATTTGGGCCTGCATTGGCCATCGATAGAATTCCTGAAACGAAATTTTCATTGCAGGTATAAGTAGATTTCAAAATTAAACTGCTGTCTTCATCTTCATGTTCACCGACTGTAAACTTCAATGGAAAAGTCCTGGCTGTTTGTCCACGTCTGCCTTTCGGCTTGTTCCAGGACCTCAGTGTTACATGCATTATTTGTGTCCAGACTGTGGGTCTCTTCTCAAGCAAATGCACCCTGACTTCAAAGGAAAAGGTGATTTATGTACACTGGCCAGGCATTCGGTTAGTAATCTGTCCAATGTGGCCAGGTTCTTTCTGCAGAACAACTAGCCACCTGCCAAGAGCATTGCATAAAGCATGAATCCATTAGCTCTGACTGTAATCTCTTCAAAGCATATTGTGTCAGATCTTATAACTGTTCCAAAACAGTTATTTAGTTCACTTCTTTCAGAATTATTCCATTTACATGGATGTTACATTGTGGTATTTGTTTCTTCTTGGAGACTTAATTTCTGTTTCCTTACAATTTATTTCTAAGCCTAGTTGCTCACTATGTAGGACTACTATATTTACTAAATGTAATCAAATTTGCTTATTTTTTGCAATCAATATTATTTTATATGCATAGTTTATAGTTTGATGTTATACCCTTTGTAGCCTGTTCCAAAGTTTATATATATACCTACATATACATATATACATACACACAGAGAGAGAAATAAAAATATGAAGGGAAATGCTTTTTTGCTAACACAACACTGTATGAAAAATGTTATTACATTAAACATGGTAAAGTGGCAGTTGGATTACACATTTCTGTCCATGCCATGAGGCGTTTGAGTAAGGTCATAGTTTCCATATATTTAGACCAATCAGCACTTGAAGGGCACAGTGGTAAATATCATCCCAGACACCTTTATTTCCTTGAAAATGTCCTGGTACCCATTTTAGGTTTGGTAGGTCTAGGAGACCAGGTCAAGGGGAAACAATCCCATCTCAAACTGCTGACCACCATAGACTACTGTGGCTCCTTTTATACATGTTTAATGTGATATTTAATGTGATAAAAAGAAACAAGATCAAAAGTTGGCTAGTCATAAGATTCAACTTTATGAAACTAAACGTAAATACCTGGTTTTGTATGCTTGTGTATGAAATTTTCATCTGCAAATTTTGCTCCATAGATACTCTTTCCTCCTGTTCCATTGTGATTTGTGAAGTCTCCTCCTTGACACATGAAACCCGGTATTATGCGATGAAAAGTGCTGCCTTTGTAGCCAAACCCCTTTTCCCCTGTACAGAGAGCTCTGAAATTCTCTAAATAAAACAAAAAATCAACTTTGCTGTGATACAAAACAATAACATATTACAAAATTATAATCAATTTCCTTCACAAAATAATGTCCAACCCTTTAATAAACTATTTACAGATAATTTGTATTTTTTAAGAAATCATTATGATTTTTGACTATGTTTATTGGGTGACAACAAATAAAACTCTATACGTAAATGGAAAAATACTGCTTCAAGAGAACAACCCAAAATACCTAGGTGTCTCATTTGATTGCCACCTGACATGGAAGACACAGGTAGAAGCAAGTCGAACAAGAGCAAGGCAAAGAATGGCAATCATGAAAAAACTTGCCGGCACAACATGGGGAGCTGATGAGAAAGGTCTCAAGAAACTATACACTGGACGAGTAAGGCCAGTTCTTGAATATGGTATTGCAGCTTGGGCAAGATCAGGGAAGATTCTGTACTTATCAGTATCCAAACCCATCCACATTAAATATAAGCTCCCTGCTTGGATACAGCAGCATCTGCTTGAACTGATGGAAAATATTCCTGGTATTGAGAAAAAGAACACTCAGAATGAAACAGACAGAAGGAAAATCACATTAAACTACATAGAAGAACATTACCCAAGTAACATTTGGACTCATGCATATACAGACGGATCAGCAAAAAATTCAACAAAAAATGGAGGTTGGGGAATTGTCCTGAATCTAACAAATGGATCAAAGAAAACAGTCGATTGCAGTCGGAAAGTTCTCAAGTAATTTTAGAGCAGAGGCAGAGGCCCTGAGAACTGCAGCAGAAATGCTTCTGTCAGAAAAAAATAAAGAGGAATACATAGCTATCTTCACAGATGCAAAGACAGTTGTCTCAGCACTGAAAAGCGTAAATGATACAGAACTAGCAGACCTTAGAGCTGCACTCCAGAGACTGAGTCAGAAATCAAAAAGGGTCAAAATACAATGGATTCCATCCCATTGCAACATACCGGGAAATGAAGAGGCTGACAGATTGGCAAAGGAAGGTGGAAGACTACCACAGCCTGATATAGACATAACATATGATGAGGCTAAAAGGTTTATAAGAAGTACATATAGTATCAAATGGGATTCTAAACACCCAGGCTACAAGAAGGATGATGCATACAACCAACTTGGCCTAAGAGAACAAGTAGTGATCTTTAGACTCTGCACAGGACATAATAGGCTGAAACACCACTTGTTCAATAAACTAAAGATAGGAGACAATGGTGATTGTAACTGTGGAAAGGGTAAAATGACGGCTAAACACTTGCTGCAAGAGTTTCCAATATATGCAGAACAGAGAAAATTATTCTGGCTAACACCTGCAACTTTTGAGGATAAACTGTGTGGAGATGTCAACAACCTCAAGTTGACTGCTGATTTCTTCAAATATATCCACACTGACATCTGAAGGTATAAGAAGAATAAAACTCCAGGATTCTCTGAGCTGATAGTCCCTAGAGATGCAGAGCTCGTAAACCACACAAAACTATAGTGGATGAGGAAGTCCACTGTAGTAAAAGTCTAACATGCAAAAGCAGCAAAGTACTCATTTTGTGGTGTAGGTAAATTAAATCCTAGGTCTGCAGGCTGCATACTGTTGGCTACAAAAGAGATAGCCCATGATGTATGAGATGTTCAATACATGGAAGTGAGGTTAAACAGTCATGAGCAGGACGTGACAATTCCTTGGGTGAGCCCAGTACCAGAGCACCATGTATTAGCTCTGCATTTGTGGAAGCCCCTTTGGATGGCGGGGAATGCTCATGTTCTGCCCCTGCCTTCTCTTGAGGGCTAATCAGCATTATGTGGCTTCTCTGGACCAGCCTGATTGGGGCACCACTTGTTCTGATTAATAGGCCAACTGATCCACCAACATTCTACTCGAGGTTGTGGCACACCACTACTACCCCAGACCTAGCATTTCACTCTCCAGATCTGGAATGGAACATTAAACGAGTTGTTGGAAATCAACTGGGAGGCAGTGACCATCGACCATTCTTCCTGAATGTAGAAAATGAGAAGGTCACAGAAACTAGTACGCTGCCAAGGTGGAACTACAAGAAGGCTGACTGGACAATGTCCAAACACCGTCCCAGTATACTGCTTGGAAGTCTCAGTGTAGACCAGGATATAAACAAAGTAGTTAAAGAATTTAACAAAAGCGTACTAAAGGCAGCAGGAGAATCAATAGTAAGAGGTGCCCGTAAGCATTATAAGCCATACTGGAGTAATGAGCTAGAAAATATACATAACAAAGTAGAAACATCCAGAAAGACAGCAGAGACTAGGCCAAACCAAGAACATCACAATAACTAACAGCATGCAAAACCAAAATTTGTAAGGACAAAGCTGCAGGTTAGAAGGAAAAGCTGGCAGAAGAAAACAAGGTCGCTGAACTTTGAAAAAGACACGAGAAAGTTATGGAAGCTTGTGAAACAAATTAGATAACGACATTGAAATCAGTTCAGAGAAAAAACACGAAATTCAAGAAAAGACACAATTTATAAGTCAGAAAGAAATAACATCAGAGGCGCTAGAGGTGCTAATTACACTTAATGAACTGGAGTTGGCCATTTCAAAGCTGAAAATGCGGAAGTCACCAGGAGCAGATGGTATATCAAACAAAATGATCAGAAACTTAGGAAAAGTAACCAAAACAAAGCTTTTACAGATATTTAATGCTTGCTGGGCATAAGGGAATGTTCCACGGATCTGGAGAGAGGCAATTATGATATCCCTCATAAAGCCTGGGAAAGACAGTTCTAATGCCTCCAACAACAGACCGATCAGCCTCACAAGCTGTCTCTGTAAAACAATGGAGTGCATCACCAACCTCAGACTACAGTGGTACATTGAAAGTGAAAACATCATTACACCACAGCAGGCGGGCTTTAGAAAGTTCTACTCTACGGAAGACCAGACAACATACCTCTCCCAAGAAATAGAGGATGCTTTTCAAGATAAGAAACTGGTACTCGCGGCATGGATAGATTTAAGGACAGCTTTTGATAAGGTTTGGAAGGAGGAGCTTTTGAAGAAATTGAGAAACTATAAAATATATGGAAAAATGTACAATTGGATTAAAGCATATCTACATAACAGAAGAGCTCGGGTACAGGTAGATGGTTTTAAAAGTAAAAAAGTTCTACTGCGACAAGGCGTCCCTCAAGGTGGTGTCCTGTCGCCCAGACTTTTCCTCTTATTCATCAACGATCTGGTTGCTGAGATACCAAATGGAATCAAAATGGCAATGTATGCCGACGACCTGGTACTGTGGTGCACCAATGAACATGCAACAATAGCCACAAAAACACTACAGAGGGCTACAAATGCACTTGAGGCATGTGCCAATAGATGGTGTGTCAGCATCAACACAGACAAATGTAGCACCACACTCTTCACCCTCTCCCCAAAGCAAAAAGCCAGCACCATCAAAATAAACTGAATACCCTTAAGAGATGATAAAGAGCCCACATACCTAGGAGTCACATTTGATGACAGGTTGACATGGAAAAAACATATTAACAAGGCAGCAACCAAAGCCAGGGGGAAGACAGCAATATTAAGAAAATTAATTAGAACCACATGGGGAGCCGATAGGAAAATACTCAATAAAAGTATACAAGCAGAGCATACTTTCACACTTGGAATATGGGTTAACTGCTTGGTGTTCAGCATCTAGTACCACATTAAAGGAGCTGGACAAAGTGCAAAATCAAGCGCTCAGAGTCATCACAGGAGGGATGAAATCAACCCCCATATTAGAAATGGAGAAAGCTGGGAAAACACAGGCACTGAGAGAACGCAGAGATACAAAGTTGCAAATACAAGCTGAAAAGTTCCTCAGTATGCCAGATCACCCGATGGGAAATAGATTTAAGAACCTAGCCTTGGGATGGTTAAAAAGAAGCAGCTTTATACACCAAGCAAAAAAGAATATGTGGACAAACTCCTGACCTTCCAGAAATTGGTTGCCCACTTAAAAGTATTCCAGAACAAACCCCATGGAGAGAAAAATGCAAACTAACAGTACAAATCCAGACAAATGTGAAAGAGATATTTGACAAGAAAGAGCAAGATAGTGTACAACGCAGAATGGCCACCCTCAGTCATATTGATGAAGAATACCCACAAGAACAATGGGTCAGAGTCTATACAGATAGATCCACAGAAAGTGCAGTTAGAAATGATGGTGCTGGAGTGTACATTGAATTCCCAGATGGTACTAGGGATAAGTCCAGCGTACCAACCGGGAAGTACTGCCATAACTATGAAGCAGAAACTCAAGCTATCAAGATAGCAACAGAGAAACTGCTAAATACCAATCTTGGCTCACAGTATGTGGTAATGCTGACAGATGCAAAATCAGTACTTAAAGCACTCCAGTCTAGGAAACTAACAGAATTGCAAACACTGCTGACACAACTCAGCCTTCAGCAAAGAGTCGTAATGCAGTGGATACCGTCTCATTGTGGAGTGCCTGGAAATAAGAAAACTGATCAACTGGCAGGGGAAAGTGCGACAAAAAAGCAGCCGGATGTACCAGTCACATACCACCAAAATAAAAGAATAATTAAATCGATCAGGAAACCACCACCCCCAGCACAAGACGACTATTTTATTATGGACAGACCAGAACAAGTCATTATCCTCCGCCTCAGAACAGGGCACAACCGATTACGTAACCACATGTACACAGAATTCAAGATAGATGTATCAGCCATGTGCACCTGTGGAAATGTGCCCCAGACAGCAGAGCATGTACTCCAGAACTGCACCGTTTCGACACATTAAGGCAAACCTTTTGGCCAGAAAGAACAACAGTGGAACGTAAACTCTATGGACCACTGAATGAACTAACAACGACAGTAAAATTTATACAAGAGACAAAACTGCTGATATAGACAACTTATTTCAGGTGAACGAAAGAAGAAGAAGCTCCCCATGTTGTGCCAGCAAGTTTTTTTCATGATTGCCATTTTTTGCTTTGCTCTTGTTCGACTTGCTTCTACCTGTGTCTTCCATGTCAGGCGGCAATCAAATGTGACACCTGGGTATTTTGGATTGTTCTCTTGAAGCAGTATTTTTCCATTCACCCCTAGCTTGACTGACTTTTTTTTATTTGAGAGTGAGAACACAGTGCATGTTGTTTTCTCTTCACTGATATTCACCAGCCATGTTTTTGACCATTCCTCTAATACTGACAAAGTTTTCTGCATGCTATTGTTTTCTAAGTCTACCCACTCTACTAGTGTGTGTTTTTTCTCTAGGAAGGCATCCTCTATTCCTGGGCTATATATGCTATTTAGTCTTCAGTGGATCTGTACTTTCTAAATCCTGCCTGTTGTGGAGTTATTCTTTTTGCTTGACAGTGCTTGGAGAACAGACCATGAGTCACTAAGTATAAAAATTGTGTGCCCTCTGTGATATTAAGTGATGATATATTGGACTGCAGAAAGGAGGGCAGTTGCCTCAGCTCTGAAGTTAGTGCAGATGTCACCTGCTGGTAGAGAGAGAGAGAGTTCTGCTCTACTTCTAGGGGGTTCAATGTATATTCCACAGCTCCCCTTTCTGACTGCATCTGTAGCAGAGCCGTCAGTGAAAACCTGAGTCAAGTGGTATTGGGATACTTCTATTCAAGCATAGCAAGAGCCAAGGTTCTCTGTTTGCCTCCGTCCGAGCATCTTTTGAAGTGATCCTTGGTACCTTTAGGGCTACATCTGCCTTCTCAGGTTTGCTTGTCAATGGTGCTGGCCTAAGCTTTTCGCACAGTGCAACATCTCTTTCAAGCAGATTCTGGTGCTGTCTGTACAGGTCTCTAGCAAGGTGGTTGGGGCTCTGATGCTTCAGTCTGTTTTTTGTTCTCTTTTGAAATTTAAAATGCAGTGGGTGACTTTGAAGTCTTTTTAATTTCTTAAACTGTAAAAGAGTTTTGTGTTGTTGTCTGAGTTTGAGTGGTTCAGTATCTGCTATCCTCTTTATCTCTCTGATGGGAGTGGTTTTCATGGCTCCAAGAACAATCCTCAATCCCATATTCTGAACCTTGTCCAGTTTTCCCATTTTTGTCTTGGCTGCTGCAGCCCATGCAGTGAAGGCATAGTCCATGACTGGCCTGACTGCTCTAGTATGTACTTGTTTCAGGATTCTGGAGTTGGCGCCCATGTGGTACCCGCTAATTTTTTCATCACTGCAAGCTTCTTGAATGTTTTCCCCTGTACTGCTTCTACATGTGACTTCCAAGTAAGTCACTTATCAAGCCTAACGCTGAGAAAAGTAGGAGTGTCAGTCTGTTGTATGAGCTTGTTTTTGGTCTAGATTTTGATGTTTTCTTTTTGGGGAGGGAGGGGCAGAGAGAGAGAGAGAGAGAGAGAGAGAGAGAGAGAGAGAGAGAGAGAGAGAGAGAGGGAGGGAGAGAGGGAGGGAGAGAGAGAGAGAGAGAGAGAGAGAGAGAGAGAGAGAGAGAGAGAGAGAGAGAGAGAGAGAGAGAGAGAGAGAGAACTGATGCTGTGCTTTTTAAGTTATTTAGCTTTTGACCCCACTTTTTGGTCCAGGCTTCTAAATTTTCCAGTTTTCTGTAACATACATGAGGCTGTCCAAACTGCAATGTCATCGGCATGTAGGGTATAAGAAACGTGCTGGTGGCAGGTTGCTGTGGTATCATTTATGTAAACCAGGAACAGAGTTGGTGCTATCACACTGCCATGAGGAACTCCTTCTATTAGTTTTACCAGTTTGCCTATGTGTCTATCAATTGTGAATCTGGCACTGCGTTGGAAAAGAAAGTCTTTGAGCCACTTGTACATATTGTGCACAACTCCTGTCTGTAGCAGTTTTAGTTGTAAGCTCAACATAAATGAAAGTAGCTGATCTAACTAATTTTAATGTGCTGAAAATAAAAATGACATTAAAAAATGTTGATTGGCTTTAGTTTTCAAGATATACGCAACTAATTTACTTAATTAGGGCCAAATTATATACATGATGCAAATGTTGTGGCTGGTTGTATTTCTTCTAATGACCAATAAAACTAACCAGATAATGATGATGCAGTCCTATCTATGATTACATCACCTTTGTGTATAAATATCTTATAGATTGTATATCTGTCTCATCCTTCCCCTGAATGTTGAGAATCAGCCAGATCTCCTCGTAACTCCTCGCAGCGCCATTCTCCTTAGACCGTTATGATTTATCTGTATCTCTGCACTGTTTACTCACTCAAACAGGGCCCTCACAATATCTGTGGTGCAGAGCCAGCCAGTCTATTTGCCTGCTCATTTCCCAACACACCGGCATAACCTGGAGAAAATATCCAAAGGATGCCAACTAATCAGGACCACTGAAGTGATGCTTGCCACTATGCATGAAGCATGCTAATTCAAGCAGTACCCTGTAGTTCAAGCAATAGAGCAACCACTTTTAAATCCCCACAAAGTGATTAGTGATGATGATCCTGGTTTATACACTCTCTAAAGCTGCTTAATGTTTTCATAAGTTTCTTTCATGTGAACTGCGTGACCAACTGGAATCCATGAAACTAATAAAGCTCTGTTTTAATCATAGGAACACCTTCTAGTCAAATCAAACTAAAGTTTGGACAAGAACAGACACAGTCAATTTCAACATACCTGTAGTTTTTGGTACATCAGGGTACAGCTTAAAAATCATGGAAGAGAAACAAAACAGTCACATTAAATAAAGCCAAACATAATAGCTCTGTGTGTATGTGTGCATGCATGTATGCAGGCAGATAGAGAAAAATAATGTGTGTGTGTGTGTGAGTATATATTAGGGCTGTACCGAATATTCGCTTTGTATTTGCTCTGGGGCCCAATAGTGGACCTATTGACTATTCGGTATTCGGCTGAATAGTTGCGGTCGGGCTAAATACGAATAGTAGTTACCTTACACCCGCTTTTGCATACACGACCTTAATACTGACAACATGGAACGATTTTGTCTGTTGAAAGCTAATGCAGCTCTCATGCGTTAACTAAGCTGTCAGTGACAATTTCCAAGTTTAGTTACCTTTTATAATACTTAGTATTCTTTCATTCCTAGTTATTAGTTACAACAGCTTGACTGAATGATGCAAAACATAAAATGTTTTTAAATGTTTACTATTCTGTACGAATACTAACTAGACCATGGAAAGAATATAAACTTTGTCCACATCCAAGTTGATAATATGAAAATCAAATGAACGGAAACATATAAGTACTTGGGTGCAAACTTCAACTGCTTTAACATGCTGAAAGAAGAAATACAATCAAGAATACAATCTAGAAATAAAGTATAATATGCCCTTCAACATCTGCTAAAGTCAAAGTTTCTGTCTTGCAACACCAAGATCAAAATATATAAAACGATAAGACCAGTCGTTTTATATGGCTTTGAAACTTGAAGCAGAAATAAAATAGATGAGGCCTTATTACAGGTTTTTGAAACAATCTTACGACAAATCTTTGGACTGATCAAAGATGCTAACAGTGGGGAATGGAGAGTGAGAACAACGTAACACATAATCTATTTAAATCACCAGTGATCACTGGCATCATGAGAGCTAACAGACTAAAATGGTTGGGGCATATTAAAAGAATGTCAGATGACAGAGAAGTAAAACTGCATACGCGAGGGAGATGAATGGGCAAAGACCACGAGGCAGACAAAAAAGAAGTTCAAGAGATAATGTCCAGCCAGACCTGCAAACAACTGGTGTCACAAATTGTAAAGAGAAGGCCAGCCAGAGAGATGAATGGAGATGAGTGATATCTGCAGCAGTAAACCTCAAGGGCTCAGAATGATAAAGAAGAAGATGACTATACTGTGCTACTTTATGTGAAGTAAAAGTTCAGCGTACATTTGACATTACACATTTTTTTTTTAAAGATATATTTTATGCACTATACACTATTTGTATTTGTATTCGGTCAAATAGCTGGTCCCGTTATTCGTATTCAGCCGAATAGTGAAAATCACTATTCGGTACAGCCCTAGTATATACGCACACACAATATATTCACACTTTCACCTTGCACAAAGAACAGGACCAGCAAAGGATGCAGAGGTACTGAACCTGTGATGATGCACCAGGTGAAGAGCAAAAACTGGTCAAGTCCTATGTACATCTCATCATAGTCATCCTAAAAACAGGTTCCAAGCCGACGGTCTCGGCCAACATGGATAGGATCAACATTTCCTTTAAATTCAAAATGCAATCTGCCTGAGAGGCAAGGAATTGATTCAGACTCAAAATAGATAAAAAATAAGGATTTTATTTTATTATTAAGTTTACACGCCATAAAATCTTTTTCTTATTCGTATTCATGCCTGTAATCTCCAGTGAAAAGTTATAGTTGTTCACCCATTTCTGGACTTTGGTCATATTCTAGAACTTTAGTTGTGTGTGCAAATCTGTTTTATAGAAATGGCCTACTTGTATGCACTTTTGGTTTCTCATCTCTCAGGCAGAAGCACTCTGATTCTGAAGGAAAAACCCATAATTAGTCGCCCCCTGCAACATTATTCAATAAACTGAAGATATTATCTGCTGATGAATGTGACTGCAGGACTGGTAAAATGACTGCTAAACAACAGATGCAGAACAGAGAAAACTGTTTTGGCTAAGCTTGCTCCAACATGGCATTGAGAAGGTAATGAAAGGATTTACTGTATTCATGCATGTAAAGGCAATCGTAATCCACTGCTGGCAGCATGGATTTGTATCATGGTACGGGGCGTCGCAGGTCTACCCAGCCCAAAATGGGTACCAGGATGTATGTCCTGGGGAAGTAAAGACGGTCAGCATTATGCTGACCACATTACCCACCTAATGCAGAATGGTCTGTAAAAATATGGGTGCTCTTTCCATATGCCTGATGCACCTAAAGGCGTAAAAAGGGATCTTTACTTACTTACTTATGCATGTATAGGCAACACCCAGTTGCCAAGATGATAACTTGTGGAAAAAACTTTTCTCACAATATGTTAAGAGAGCAAAACCAAAACAGTAATGCCTGTAAGCAATAAAAGATCGACCCCATAAGAGCAAGTTACAGTTGTAAATTTAAGTTGCAAGTAGTGCATTATGTGCAAGAATATGTAAATAGAGCAGCTGGAAGTATGATGTAGATGAGAAAATATGCTCTTGAAAAAAAAAAAATCCCATATTTGACAATATTTTCGTGACAAGAAAGTGAAATACCAGGAAGTAGAAACTAACCATAAAAAAAAAAAAAGCTGACATTACTGAAATTCCTCAGATTGAATTTAAAGCCAGTTAGGGCTGGGCAGGATACTTTATGGCACAAAAGGACCTTGCGATTCAGCTGTGGGCTAAAATGGTGCAGGAACTAACTGCCATCAACCAAGAGAAAATGTTTGCATTTCAAAGACATGTTCTGAAGTTATAGAAGAAACACAGCTAAGCATAGGGGCAACTGGAAATGCTAATGAAACTCGCTTTTTTTTTTATATGCCAGGTGAAACAACAGTGAACAAATCTGGTGAAAAATAGTACATATGCCCACTTCAGGAGAAGAAAAACAGCAGTGCACCGTAAGGCCAGGTATCACTGCTGAAGGACAAAACTCCTACCTTACATCATTTTAATCCATGATTGAGAAGAAGCTACCACCTGGAATATTGGTAAGAGTGCAAGAGAAATGGTGGACGGCTGAAGAATTATACATCAATTGGCTGAAGACAGTGAGGTTTCAGCATCCAGGTGAACTGTTACCTCACAGGTCCATGCTAGTCGTAGACCGTTTATAAAGCCATTTAAAAGAAAAAGTAAAGATGTTGTGGCAAGACAGGTGCAATATGGTTGTGTTACCAGGAGGGATGACTGAGATGTTACAACCCCCCAACATTTCCATTACATGCCTTTTAAGGCTCAATTAATGTTGTACAAGTGATATGTTTTTCACCCCATCTCATCTAGTGCGAGATTTCGCAGTGAATTCTCCAGGACAGTCCTACAGTCTTGGAGGGTTACATTTGGAAATAGTCTTAGTCGCTGTTCATTTAACACTAACACTCCTATATCCTAGGCTTGTGTTGGTTCTTTTCAATGTTGTTATAATTGATTCTCTCATAATCTCCACTATCTGTTACTTTTGTTCGTTTCGCCGCCCTCACTCTGCCCTGTGTGGAATCTCTGTCCTTACTTCATGACATGGTCTTCGTCATGAATTTGCTTGACCTTTCAGTATTCCTGCACGTAACCCTAACCCAGACGCTTGAACAGTCATTCACAGAAAAAGAGACTTGGTCAGTTTTATCTGGGGAAAAAGAAACCTGCACACTTTCATGTGGGAGACAGTGTGTTGACCAGGTCAAAGGAAGCTGAGACAGTAACAATTGTCGGCACTCTGTATATACACAGCCACAACGGTGTGCAACTAGTTGCAGGCGGTCTTGTACATGCCCAACGAAGGCAAGTCATAACACCCCTAGACTGTAGGACCTTTTCTGGGGAATTCCCTATATAATCTTGTGCCAGATAAGTGAAAAACCTGAACAGAACAAAAAATATTTTTTAAAGGATTTTGCAGGGAATGATAATGGGGTTATAACCCCCTTTTTTAACACTTCCAGTCAAAATGGGAACAGCTAGTGCTGATAAATAAGAGGCTAATATACATCGAAAAATGCAGTGAATCAGTCATATGCAAGCCGAGATGATTCCTTAGGGGGCCCAGTAACACAGCGTCATGTATATCGGCTCTGCATTTATATAGATGGTTTTGGGGGAAAGCTCATTTTCAGACTTATGAGGGCTGACAGGCATTACCTGGTTCCTATTATACTGAACAACTGATCAACATATGGCAAACGAGTGGTAACCCATTAGGGCTCCGTTCTTCTTCTAACTCTGAGTCCGAAGAAGCTAAGCACAGTTGCACAGGCTCTGTAACACCTGAAATACTTTGAGTAGATTTTTAACTCCAAATTTTGCCGGGCAGCGCCGTTAGGCTACGCTTTTAAATTTCCAACTGCCAAGGGATTTTTTACCTGCACAACAATGCACACCGGCATGCGATCTCACTATCCAGAGACCAGGGGGAATTACTAGAAGCCCAAGTCCACGTGAAAAAATCCCAACCCTTACCAGGAATTAAACCCAGAACCTCTAGCACTCGAGGCAGACAACATGCCTCGAGACCACGCAGTCCCCTTTGACCCGCATAGTGGGAAAGGGAAGGGTGGGCTAATGAGTATGATACTGTCCAATGTCTCAGAAAACTAATCTGAAGGCTAACAGGGTTACAAATAGTGAAATACCCGAAGCAGACGGCACAACGAGATTACACATTATGTCCTCGTAGACCAGTGATTCTCAACCCTCCTAATGCCACGCCCCTTGGCTATCCTCTGAATACTGACTGACTTACTTAGTCGCTCCTCTTCTACCTTGGGGTGTAGAGGTTTGCCAGAGAGATCGCCAGACGTCTCTATCAGCAGTTTTCTTTCTGGCTTTGTTCCATTCCAGTCCTCTGTCAGTTAGGGACTGTCGGATGTTATCCCCTGAATAACGGTCCTAAATTATCGAGGCCGAAAATGTACCCTAACATGGCCTCAGTCACATGTAAATTGCGGAGGATTGCTTAAGATGCATAAAGGGAGTAATCAGTAAACACAAAAAGAGGGAAGAA